CAGCCCTGTAGAGATTCAATTTCCAGTTTCTTGATCTGGTCTGGGTTCTCAGGGTGACTGTTCTCTCTGCAGCTAACATTCTCCTACTCTCTTGGTGAGCTTCTGTCTCCTTGAGTACATTAACCTGATAGCCTCTTGCAACACACTTCCATCCTCTCAAATCCTTCACAGAGCCTAATGCCCTCACCCCCACTTCAACCCTACCTACCACATGGTGTAACTCCCTACTCCTTCTTCCTCTCCTCCACAACTGTCTTTCCCAACTCCTGTCTGTAGCCCCTCATGCTTTATGATTGTCTCATGTTTCTCATTCAACTAACATTTACTGAATCCTACTCTGCTAGTTCTTGGGGATTCAGTAATGTATAAAGCATGACCCTTGCCTATTAGGATTATTAACATACTCCCCTCTCCAACTTGTGTTTCTGCCGTCCTATATGGACCTCCAAACGTACACCCTCACACAGGCTTAACTTTGTTCTATAAAAACCCTCTCAAATCATGGGGGTGTAATGTGCACCGCGGTGACTATAGTTAATAGTGTGTTGTGTATTTGAAAGTTGCTAAAAGAGTAGATCTTGAGTTCTCATCACAAGAAAAAAAATTTTGTAACTTTGTATGGTGATGGATGCTAAATAGTTATTACGGTGATCATTTTGCAATATATACAAATATCCAATCATTACGTTGTACACCTGAAACATGTTATGTCAATTATATCTCAATTTCCAAAAAGTAAAAAAAAAATCTGTAGAATGTAGACGGGTCCCACCTGTACCCTTTAGCCCTCATTTCACCCTTCACTCGCCCCGTTTGCCGCGTCCCCCGTCCTCCCACTCCAGCCCCTATTTCCTTCCCATTCTCTTTTAACTCGATTCCCTGGTTACCCTCCCTCCTCAATCCATTTTCTTCTCCATTTTTTTTAACAGGCAGGTGTGCGGGTCTCCCTAGAATTCCTTACACCTTGGTCCCCTAACTCCGCCCTCTTACGCTTTCCTCAACCTTCGGTAGCTCAGGTTACCTCCTTTCTTGCGGCCACGGCTGCCCCCAGGCCCCTGGCTTTTCCGTTGTTTCATGATGAGGCCGCACTTTTCTTCACCAACTCAACTCCGGCCCCAGCACCTAAGCCGTAGCGTCCCGCCATCCCTTCCCACCGCGCCAGTGTTCCCCGGCAACCGGCGCCGCTGGGCAGCCTGGGAGACAGGAAGAAGCCGCTTTTCCCCAACAGTCTGGGCAGCCGAGAGAAGGGAAGGCGCCAAGACTCCTTACCGCCAATAGACTGCAACACCCACGATGCTTTGCTACACTACCTCTGTGGGGTTGGACGCTGTCGCCTCCAGCTGCGCAAGCGCAAAGGGATAAGTCCTTTGAGGACTCCATTGCCCAGGGTGCATTGCCACCAGGAGCGCTTCTCTTTCCGGCGACGGCTGCCGAGCTCTCCCCTTGGGGTTTGAGGGGTCCGCAGACTTCGTTACCCAGCTTCCTTTGTGGAAGGAAGCTTCCTGTTGCGCACTTCCGGTGGTGCCGCCTGAGGAGAGTGGGTGGAGTTTACAGAGCCGGTGGTCGGTGGGTGGTGCTGCGGTTGGCTGGGTGCTGTCCAAAGGCAACTGGGCTACGCTAAAGGAGCGAGCTGTGACCGGTTGGGTCGCACTTAACCTGGGACGAAGCTTTGGCTCCTGTTTGACTACCTGCGGCCTCCCCTTCATGTCGGCCCTCGAGAAGAGCATGCACCTCGGCCGTCTGCCCTCTCGCCCCCCTCTACCCAGCAACGGGGGCAACCAGAGCGGAGCCAAGATGCGAATGGGGTACGTAACCCGGACCCCTTCTTCCTAGAGGCCAGGCCTTGGCCATTGGAGAATGGTGTCTCCGGGCGTTTAGAGCTGCGCGGCAAGGGAGGCTGAGGAGAGAATGTTGGCGGCGGCCTGGAGACGTTTAGATGGAGTAGACGGCAAATTTGGGCTCTAGTTAATGGAAATTGAAAGACAAATAGTATCGAAGGGAGAAAGGAATAAGGCAAAGATTGAGGAAGCCAAGAGGGTAACTTAAAAGATTTAAGAAGCGCCTACAAAAGAAGGGATGGAGGCGATTTGAAAAAAGGGAGTAGAGTGATGACAAAGGTGGGTTGAAAGCTGCCGGGGAGGGTTGAGGGAAATGGGGAATGACTGAGGAAAGTTGAGAGGAATTAGGGGAAGCAACTAGGTAAAGATTTAGGAGTAGGAAGTCAGTGAGAAGTAAGTATTAGAAAAGCTGAGAGAACTAGAGAATACCTGAAGGAGGGTTAGAGAAGGAAATGGGAGCAGAAGGTTCTAGAGTTCTTAGAGATGTAAGAGGCAGATTCAGAGAGTTGGGGGTGGGGGGACTAGGAGAACTGAGAAAGCTTGGGGAAGAGGCGTAAGGAAAGATGGAGTAGGTAGCCAAGAAGACTGACTGTTAAGGGTAATAGGAATGTAATGAGAATTGAGGGTAGGGAGTAAGGGGAGGTGTGAGGAGGGAGAGGACTGAGGAATTTAGAGAACAACCATTGGGCCCTAGAAATTGAGAAATGACTAGGCATAGGGTTCAGTGAGTGGAAGTGCTGCAGAGGTAAGGTTTGGGAAGCTTAAAGAGGAAGATTTGGGCAGCTGAGTTTTGCCTGGCGAATAGGTCTGATCGAAGATAAGTACTGGTTTGATAAAACTCAGAATTAATGAAGCATTGAAAGTAGCTACTTAAAATGTTTCAGGGAAACCATTTACTTGGAAGAAAGGAGCTGTGTTGAAGAGAGAAGACTTTTGGAATTTTAGGTTGTTGAATGGCTTCCGTCAGGTTAGGGTATACTTAGGTGTAAGAGAGAGGGCATAATGAGTTGAACATGGGAGTGTTAGTTGAGGGAAAGCAGAGAGAATCGAATAGGCAGTTGGTTTTGAGGGGTGTTTGTAGTATCAAACAGGATCCTGGAGACTAGTGACTGTAAAGAGAAAAAGAGCAGGAAGAATACTTAGGTATAAGGTAGTCAAGAGTGTGTGTTCAGGAATCCAGAGGTGGATTTGTAGATATTCTTGGAATAAGGACTAGAGAACAGAAACCTTAGGTTCTAAAGTAGTAATATGTACAAAAACTGATCAAAAGGAGATGAGGATAGGAGATGGAGTACTGTGAAAGTAGGTCCTAGCAGTGAAGAGAAAGGAGAATCCTATAAATTAAGACAATAGGAGGTGGTGAGAATGGTTGGGAAAACCAGGGAAGGAAATTAAGAATTGGAGACCTGACTATGATATACAGTAGAAAAATGAGAGAACCTTGACAGATAGGTCAGTTGACATACAACAGAAAGGTGGTAGAAGGCTACATTTAAGGTAAAATGAAAATTGTTTTAGCTGTGGAAGACAGAAAGGTAGTACTGTAACGTGAATAATAAGGAGGATCTGGAAACTGATCCATAACATTATTTGGGAAAATTAACCTGAAGTATAAAATTAATGTAATATTTATTGTTGATATGTAGCCTATGCAGCCTATCTTAATCTAAAATTTGATCTTTCAGTATACCAGCACTCTTCGATAAAAAAAATGTGCGAAAATATTAGCTTTTTAATAACTATATATGCTTCAGATAAGTTTAATTAGAACTCAGCTTCTCACTTTGTCAAAACAAGTTCTCTGAAGATGAAGAACTGAAGAAAAATACTGAGAGAATATAAAGGGAAAATCTGCTGATTAGAAGATTGTAGGATCATTAGTAAATTATTCTCTTTAAATGATGTTTGGTCTCCTTAATTTAGGTTAACTGCTTATCCTGGAAAATAAAGTTCTGTAGAAAGATGCTTCTTTGTAGTATTGTGAAGAGAAGAGCATATGTTGGTGAATTTTATGCGGTCCTTAAGTGGCTTATTTTCCTCTGTTTTTTGTTTGTCTGTTTGTTTTAACTGCCTTTTTGGGACATAGGCAGGCCTCCTCTAAGTCTAATGATAGTGATAATATAGACCCTCTGCCTCCTACAATCATAAAGCTGGAAGAGAGCTCTTGAAATGATCTCAACTCACCATTTCACTGTACAGTTGAGGAAACTGAGATTCAGAATTCTGTATTCTGTAAGGTAAACTGAGGGGCAGGGGACAGTATTTTCTCTTAATAAATGACAAACTGAAACACAAATCTTCCTTATAATGAGGCACCCTGGAAGCTTGGTGGTAGCGCCAGCCGCTAAGCACTAGGACATGGGTTTCTTGACTCTGAGACTCATTGTTTTTTTGGATTCATAGTTGTTATCCTGGCAATACTTAATTTGAATTGTGTAGCTTACTCCTTTGCAAATACTCTAGGATTTAGTCTTTTTCCTCAGTCCTGATTTATGAAGTTTTACTTCCACCAATTTCAAAGCATCCTTTATTTTTCCTGTACTCACTTGCTTTTTTCTTATCTTACCATCTTTTTCTACTCCCCCTTCTATCCCTTATTTTCAAGATGGGCCTGTTTCTTTGATACTCTCTTATATTACTTAACTCTTTTAACAATTTTTCATAATCTTTGCTCAATTTCACTAACCTTATTTAGATGTGTGTATATTATGGATTTTGAATCACATAAATACATTTCCTTCTCCCAGGTTATAAGAGAATTCATAAAGCTTTTTTGTTGTTTTTCAGGACCAATAGGGTGTTTTTTTTTTACATCCATTTTAAATTTATCTCGATGTGCAAAGTGAGAAATGGAGCCAATTTTATCTTTATCCACAGGCTGTCCAGTTGTTGTAACACCATTCATAAAAAATACTTTTCCCAATATGTATTTCACCTCAAAAAAATAATCCATTTCTCCACTGATTAAAATGACATCTTTATTATATACCAAATTTCCACATAGATTTGGGTCTGTTTATGAAGTTTCTTTCCCCCTTTTTTTTATGTGCCACTACACTTTTAATTAGAGAGGCATTATTAATATGTTTTAGTAGATGGTAGAGGTAGGTTCTCTCTCATTTCTAAGATTTTCCTGTCTCTTCTTTCTTGTTTATTCTTACAAATAAACTTTCTAATCAACTAGACTAGTGTCAGAAAAAATCTTGATAGTATTTTTATTGGGACTATATTAAATATGTAAAATAACTTAGAATAAACATTTTAATGATATTGAGTCTTCTTTAAAGAAATATAGTATGAATATCTTTTGAAGGAAAAATATTTCAGATCCCAAGGATAGGGATAATGCTTTATGTATAAGAGTGAACCCCATATTACCCTTATATAATTATAAAACTCAACAAATTTACTATTTAAATACAATAAACATACAAAACTCCCCAAATCAAAATAGCAACATTACATTAATGTGAAATAATTTATTTTGCTTTTATTGGCTTACTGTGGTTTAAAGCAAAAAGATATTAATAGGAAGTTCCAGAGTTAATTCAGTCAGTCATTTCACACTATTATTCAGGACCCAGGCTTTTTGCGTCCTTTCTTTTGCCATTTTTAGATATGTTGGCATTTCATTCTCTTGCTTGTTACCTTATGGTTGCAGGATGGCAACTTCACTTGCATCTTACCTTTATTCTGTCGAAATAAAAAAAGAAGGAACAGGGGCAAAGACCTTTTCCTAGCTAAGCTTGTTTTTCTTTTTGTTGTTGTTGTTCTCTCTCTCTAGAAAGGGAAACTTCCCAGTATATTTTTCACGTAAGTCTTATTGTCTAGAGCTGGTTCACATGTCCATCCTAAGACCAATTGCTGTCAGTATGGAATGTGATTACTATTACTACTTTAGACCAATTCTGATAATTCCCTTGGGCTGAGGGAAGATAACAAGATAACTCTACTAACTACTAAAACAGGTTGGAATTCTGTTAGGGAATAGAGACTGGAAAGTGGGAAAAGATTGTAGGCAGTTAACAGCAGCTACCTCAAGTCCTGATATTAGCAAGTGGGGTAAACTGATCTTCTGACTTCAGATTCCCTACTGTTTTCACTGGAGCACGGGTATAGGACATGATCCCTCCTCCCCACCCCACTTTCTCCCTTTTCCACTTGTGCCAGATTTGAGCCCCTTGACCTGAGCACTTCTGAGTTAAATGTCCATTTTTTCCATTGTTGCTAGTCTATTGCCAGCAAATACATTTCTTCTTAGGGTCTCCAAAATTGGATAATTGGATTTTTTTAAACCTAATGAGCCCTCCTTATTCTGTTACTTGCTGTCAGATTTGAGAAAACACTTCTGGTTGGTTAGGAAAAACTTTTTCCTTCATGCTATGAAATACTTTTTTTTAAAGAAGAAAGTTTTAATTCATAGCGCTATTAAAAGAGTTGTCCATTTATACATCTCACTTAGATGTTCTTCAAAATGCAGTATAGATATACCTAGTTCTATTGTGTTTCACTTGATTGTACTTCACAGATACTGTGTTTTTTATAAGGTTTTGAAGGCAGGACCCTCCACCAGCAAAAAGATTATGACTCACTTTATTGCTATATTCGCTTTATTGTGGTGGTCTTGGACAGAACCCACAATATCTCTGAGGAATGCCTGTATTGACAACCAGTCCTAAGCATGTACTACCAATATATTTTGAAGACCGAATAAGAGATTATGTTGAAAATCCCAGTCATTCCAAACCATAGCAGAAGGCTGAAGTTGTGACTAGATTTGCCCATAGACCATAATTTGCTAACTCCATATCAATACTATTAGTTCTGTACTTCTACTGTCTTATAATAGAATATAGGTTTTAAATCAGCATACTAGGATTCCCTTCCTGGCTTTACTACATTCTATTTAACTGGTGCAAACTTGACTTTATTTTCTTAAAATGTGAGTAATACTAGCCTTAAAGAGT